ATATGTGTGTGTATATAAAAAACAGACACTGACACATTAAATTACTCAATACTTTTGTTATATCATCTGAAATACTATCTCATTAGTGCACAAAGTGAGGTTTTTAAAAGTCAGACATTAAATTTCGTGCATGTTAAAATTATAATTTTTTGTCCAATGTTTGCCTTTCTTCAAGCCTGAGTCTGCTGACTCTTCGATGCCAAATAAAGAAAAAGATGTACACCTTCAGATCATGATCATGGACATTCCATCACATGATTTTAACTCATGCTCTGCCCTGATAGGATTTACTGATGTCCTATTGTTACAAAGGTCCAGGGTTTAATTCAAAGTGCTCTGGTTGTGCTCTGGCTGGGGATAAATTCAGCACTTTCACTGTGACTAAAGGAGCTGATGGGTTGTGTTTTAGAGAACTGCAGAGCGTGTGAGACAAATTAAAGAAATTGTTTTTGCATTTTGCAGATTGTTGCTGCTGCTGATGGCGTCTGGATACATCGGGCTGAGGATTATAGCTTTAGAGGAGCAGCTGAGCTCTTTGGGGGCCCTGGCTGATTTGTCTAAAGAGTGAGTCACCACACAAACAAAAAGGAAAAGAGAAAGCAGAAAACAGGACAAATGAGCTTGCTGGAGAGAGTGTGGGAGGTGGAAAGAGTGAGATAATGACTCAAACATGTTTAAAAAACTTTACTTGATCAGATATGAGGAGATACAAGTGGAGTTGTTCAGCTGGTTTGTCCCAGTGATGTCAGATGATCACACATTCCTGAGGGTCACACCTGCATCAAAGGAGCATTCTGCAAACATCCAGAATCTAGAGGGACAAAATTAAACGTTTTAATTATTTTTATATAAATGTCATGATCAATTACTTTGGGGGCCAATCTGTTGCATCTAAAGCTCTGAAGTACGTGCACTGCTTTTCTGCTCACTTTTGTCCATTTAAATAAACATTGAATCATGCAGATTAATCAAGAATAGAGTGCTTTGACTCGTGACAGAGGTGCATTATATGACTTGAAATAAAATCTGTGAAATACATTTTCCTTTGGAGCCCTACAGTTTTCAGCTAGACACAATTTACATTAGAAACATTGAACTTTTTCGGGAATTCTTCCACAGAAACTTCTACTGACAGGTGATGAGGTTACACATTAACTTTTAAGTTGTCTTGAGTTTACAAAAAATTGCAAACAGTTCATACTCCCTTAGGCTTTTTCACACATGTACATGTTGTACATCAAAATGTAGGCGTGCCAGTTTTTTTTTCAGTGTGTTTCCCACCACTAGTTTAATGATTTTTTTTTTATTAATTAATATTTTAATTGCCATAAAATAAATATTTTATCAATAGTTTTATTTTAATTAAAGTCCCTTCAAAATGTAAAATTACATTTTAAAAAATCGTTAAACTTTGATAGTTTTCGTTTGGGTTTAGATAGTGCCAAAAGACTTGTGTGTGTATGAGTGTGTGAGTGTGTGTGTGTGTGTGTGTGTGGGGGGGGGGGGGTAGAAGCAGCAAGAACGCAGTGTGAATGCTTATTGCAGAAGAACTTGCTGAAAAACAACTGAAATTAGCTTAAAAAAAAACATGCTGAAATGTAGCTGAAATAGAAAACAAGCCTAAAATAGCAGAAGAAAACAGACAGAACACATATTTGCTAAATTACATTTAAATAAGCAGAAATGAACACAAAGACTTAGAAAATTAGCTAAAAATAGCTGAAATTAGTAAAAAGAAGCTGAACAGTAGCTGAAATTTTAGAAAGAAGCTTAAACAATCAAAAGGAAGTGGAAAAAGCTGAAATGAGCTATTAAAAAAAAAAGTGGAATTAGCTGAAAAAGCTCAAATTAAGATCCATCCATCCATTATCTTTTACCTGCTTCTTCCATTTTGGGTCACGGGGGTTGCCGGTGCCCATGTCCGGCAATCACTGTGTGAGGGGCGGGGTACACCCAGGACAGATCACAAGTCCATCACAGGGACACAGAGACAAATGAGACAAACAACCATTCACTCTCTCACTCACACCTAGGGACAATTTAGAGTTACCAATCAGCCTAACATGCATGTTTTTGGTCTGTGGGAGGAAACCGGAGTACCCGGAGGAAACTCACACATGCATGGAGAGAACATGTAAACCCCGGACCGAGATTTGAACCAGGGACCTGCGCGCTGAGGGGCAGCAGCTCTGCCGGTTGCGCCACCGTGCTGCCCCTAAAATTAACATAAAATAGCAAAATAGTAACTTAAATAAAAGAAAAAGCTGAAATGATTGTAACAAGTTGAAATTAGCATAAAGAAGTTAACTAGCCTGAAAGTAGCTAAAATTATCGTGAAAGACTTGAATTTATCTGAAAACAGCTGAAATTAGCTAAGAATGTTATAAAGGTAGCTGAAAAGGTAGAACAAACTTAAATTAGCAGAAAAAAGCAGAAAAAACATGTTTGCCCAATTAGGCTGAAAGAAACAGAGATGAACACAAAAAAGTGAAAATTTGCAAAAATAAAAAAACAGCTGAAAAGTAGCCAAAAAAGCAAAAAGAAGCTTAAATTAAGTGGAGAGAACATATTTTTGCTGAATTAGGCTGACAAAAGTTGAAATGAGTGCAAAAAATGTGGAATTAGCAGAAAAAGCTAAAATTAGCGTAAAAACAGATACATAGTAGCTGAAATAGCAGAAATAGCTGAAACTTGTAAAACTTAGCTGAAAGGAGCGTAACAAGCTGAAATTAGCAAAAAGAAGTTAGAAGAAGCACAAAAATGTTGCAGTTAGCAGAAAGAATCTGAAAGGAACAGAAAACAGCTGAAAAAAGGCTGAAATTAACTGAAAGTAGTTGAAAAAAAAATTATATTTGTGCAAGGAAGCTGAAAGAAGCTTAACCAGAACAAAATGTGAAAGGAGCAGTAAAAGGTTGTAAACAGATCTAAATATATGAAGGATGTAAAAATGAGCTCAATTCATTTTCTATGATGAAACAAATGGCAGAAAAGGCTAAATATTTCATAAAGCTAAAGTTGCACCCATACTAAAAGTCATAGCAGGTGTTCTGAAAGAGCTGAATGTTTTTGATGATTTGTTGAAATAGCACAAAAATTGTGAAACGAGAAAGATGCTGGGTACCAGTCACTGCACCAGTACCCATCAGAAACATTATCAGAAATGTTCCAGTACATGTTTCTGTGTTTAACTCTCACTCTCCTCCTAACACCCTGTTTTTATTTGTATTTTTCCCCACCAGGTACCAGGAAACATAGTCACCAGCAGTGAGCTGTTCCAAAGCAACTTTACGCCAGACTGCACTTCCTGTATCTGAAAACTTTGCACAACTCTAGATAACGAGTTTGTCAAATGCCATGTTTTATCTACATTCAACGCAAACACCTTCTCTCTCAGAAGACGACTGAACTCTTGCATCATCAGGTGGATGTTTAACAGTTCAGCAGGAGACTGAACACGGCGCCACAAGGAGACAACCTGCTGAAACCATATTTAGTTCTTGGACTGTGAACAGCTGAGCACATTTTTAGGAATCATCACAGCCTGGCTCCATGAGAACACACCGAAGCTTAACTACAATATAAAAGAACTGATCTGTTATTTAATCATTGGAGTTTTATTTTATGAATGTTTTTATTTATTTTCATTAGGCCTATGTGATTGTGATCGAACTGTGAGCTTGTGACCAAATCTAACCAGCAGAGGGGGATCACTCCTAACAAATGCAATAAAGTCAGACCAGGGTGAATACATAAAGTCACTGACGGAGTTGTCTCAGAACTGTTATTTAAAGTTTCATTTAGCCAAACATTTCCCAAGACTTTAAAATTAGCTTTGTAATAAAACAAGGACGAGCTCCAATACTCAAAGTACGTTGGTGTTTATGATTCTAGGTGATCGTGTATCTGGTCAAGCACAGTATTGGTTTTAGTGTACACATAATGACTCTGGCTTACTGTGATAAAATCACTAATAATTATCACCTCAGTTATATTTGCCATTTTAAGCCTCGATAATTCTACCTGAACACCGCAGTGGAACTGGTGTTCATCTGTGCTTCTCTGAAGTTTGTTACACGGTGGTGATGTGGAGGAGGACTGGATATTGGGCCTTCATCAGGCGGTCAGGATGCTGGAAAGGATGATATTCCATCTGACAGGTCAAACCAGTTCAGGTGTACATATACAGTTATATCTGTCATGTATAATTGAAGCATTGCAAATTGTGCAAATGTATGTAATTTGAACTGAGCAAAAATGGCCTGCATAAGGACAAAAACAATATTTGAACAATACAGAATATTTAATTACAATATAATAAAATTTAAAGATGGTATTCAATACAAAGTCATTACAAGAACTTGTACTGTTTTCAATATATGTGCTCACATTTAAACAGCTGTTTACCAAGAAATGCTTCTTCCAAAATCTTTTTACAAATTCTAGCAAGAGAAAGGAGGTACATTAATGGAACGTTTAAAGTTAAATGTGCAGGTCCATGAGAAAAACAGACATGTTCAAACGCTTTTATATCAATACTGTCATTTAAGCTTTAAAGTGGTGCATGAATGTCATGATTCTCTCATCTATGAATTATTGCCTGACCAGCTGAATGAGGCTACAATCAATAAGCTGATTTAATCAAAGCTTTGTAAGCGTTCAATAAAAGTCAAAGCTATAACAGGATTGTTTGGAGTTTTTATTCATTTATTTATGCTGGCAAAATTAGGGATGCTCCGATCGTTTTTTTTTTTTTTTTTGGTTTTTGCTACCTATCACCGATACAACTTTCTCAGTTTGCACATATCCCAGGTGATGTTTGATCAATCGGCCTGCTTTAAGGTCACACGGGGGGAGTCAGATTCAGATAAGCCACAGTTGTTGATTTTTTCAGGTTACAGTTATTTATCATCAGCTTTGAGTTCTGCTGGTACTTTTGATCCAAATGTCCAGATTTGTGTGCATTCCTCTGGTCTGTGCTTATTAGCTCCCTCCCTCCAAGGTCGTCCCCAACATGCTGGCGAGTCCCAGAAGCCGCAAGTGGCCTACGATTCTTATAAATCGCTTCCATCTTATGGTTTAGCTCATAAATCAGCTGGTTTTGAGTGATCGAAGCACGAACCAAACCTGCAGACAGGGTCGGCAGCTTTGCCGCGGCGAAACTGCTACTGCCGTCTTAGTCGATAACATATTGGTATCCGCCGGTAACAAAAAGCAGAAACCCTGCTATCATGATTCCAATATCTTCAGCGTTCTCCTGAGACGATATGGAAAGGCACATCAGATCCATGACATACCCTGCACCGTGTGTCTCAGCGGGGCATGAGGGTTCTCCAGGACCCTGTCACTTTGTTGTGAAAACATTTTATCGATTGTGTTGAAAGTCCAGCTGACCAGATCCATGACAGTAGTTTACGTTTCGCTCAGATACACAAGACGGAGAGTGAAAGAGCAGGACGGGAAAGGGAAGAAAGGCGTCCGTCTTGCACGAGAGTAAGTGGTGAAAAAAAAAAACTACCAGTACACCATTTTAATACTATGCATACAGTAGCTGATGTATTGTATCCAGTGTTTTTGTGCAACTTATTTAATCCAAAATTATGTAATTTTAATAATACTGCATTTTTGGAAGTAGTTTATCTGTAATTTATTCTTTTACTTTGGTCCCAGCAGGCTGACAGAAGAAATCTTACCTGTGAAGGCTAAATCTGGCACATTTGCCCATGTTGTACATGTACACACATTATTAGATCTTAAATAGTTTAATACAGACTATAAATAAAAACATGCCTTCAAGCATTTCCATTTTGTACAGAAGTGATTTTATTTTGTCTTCCATAAAAAGGTCAAGATTCTGTCCATGAATTAACTTCATTACATGTTTTCAGTTCAAAAAAGCAACATAAAATTACAAATAATACAAAGAATAGAATAGATAAGAACAGTAACCATATAAACAGTCTACTTATATTATCTAGACCCTCCTGCCAATTTTAATCACGCTCAAACTCTAGCACAAAACTCAACAATACATCAATTATTATCAGCGATAAAAAAATCAATTAAAACTTCCCATCTTTTTTTTTATTATTTTTTTCTTAAAAGAGCTTTCCATATGTGTTCAGCTTTACCTCCACATAGACTACACAATAGATAATAATCCGTCCTGTCATTTGCTCTGCAAAACACAACAGACATGCATACAGTTTTTACTGCTCAACCCCCCCTCCCAACCCCATCAATACACATTCAAGGCCAGAGGATACAATATATATGCCAACATTAGTGGTGCATTAAGAAAACAGCAAGTTTCCACCCCATTTTTTTAAACTAGTCCAATGACTCTAATGTAGTTCCAGAAATGCGTCTTAGTCCCCAACCCACCCAGGAAACACAAGTCCATCTCAGAGAGAGGCACTTGCTCTCTCAGAGTTTACAGAAGACTCAGATTCCTGGTATTAAGAAGATTCTCATTATTAAAAAACAAGTCATAGACACACAAAGCACATGATGAGAACGGAAATATTCCCTGTTCGAGCTGACGGGAAGTGAAGTGACGTTCGGAACCCTTTAGGCTGCTTATAGAGACCCTTGTCCTCCCAGAACAAGGAGTAATCAGGTCAGCGATAGTTAAGAAATGTTCCCTTTAATAAAACGCACATACTACCACTGAAACTGATGGATCTCCTGAGCAGCAAGCACCTTCTTGTACTACAGCAGGCCGAGAACCTGTTGTCCACCCAGAAATGTCATATACTTGATTCTGGCTTGTGGAACAAAGTCAATAATAACAAACAAAAGACACAAAGACTTACATTTTATACCCTTATTACACTTTGGATGCTTTGTACAATAGTGCTGAACTTAAGACCTGCTCTTTTCATGCGTGATCTGATATACATAGATATATAAATGTGTACGTATTGTGTGTGTAAATGCGTGTATGTTTGTTTGATGTGTGTGTGTGTGATGTGCAAAGATGTGGTGGAGCCTGCACCACACCAACAGTGAGAGGCTCAAATATGGCTTGTGTCACACATTGGAACGTGCTGCCACCCATAAGAGAGCTGCTGTACATTTAGGGCCAGAGGTCAAAACAGAGGGGGTGCCATGTCCCGTCCCGGCACCTGATCTGAATCACATTGTTTAGTCGTAACATGGAGGTTATGAAACAATCCAAGACGCCCACACTTGAACAAACCAGTCAGGATTACTTACAAGAGAAGCAGAATGAGGCAAACGGGACTGACTCATACGAGTGCTACTAGGACCACATTAAGAAGTTAATCGTTATTTTTCCAATGACGCATGATAGTTCTGGATAAATAAAACACGATTTTTGTTCATACGGGGGACTCAGGCAGTTGCTTTTTAGAGCCAACGCCAAAAGTTTCTTTTCAAGAGAATCCCTCACAGCGTCCTCCACAGCTGCACTTCAGCTTTACAAGTGTACGTTAACGTTTATGAAATGTGATTTTTTTGTCCGTACCACAGTTTAGACAAAAAGCCAAACACTCATCTCAACATGATGAAGTGACAACCAGTAATTTTCCAGCAAAAAAAAAAAAAATAGAAGGGGAAAATTAAACTGGCTCTCTTTGAAAGTAAAAATAAAAAGGACATGCCAAGCTCTCTACAGCTCACAGTTTGACGCAGGCATGAAGTGGATTTATGGGGTGTTATGTGCTTGGCTACTTCTTTTCTGGATTGCAGTCACTTCTTGACTGCAATTTTCCTAAATCTAACGTATTCCTTCATCCTTTGTTTGTGTAAAGCATCTGTTAGTGCACTCAAGATGTGAAGCTGTCTCAATACTCAAACAAAACAGGAAAATCACAGAGTAAGCTCAAGCTTCTATGACAACGTGGTCAATCCTGGAGAACCGTTCATGAGAGATGTTTTTTTTTTTTAAAACCTTGGAAATAAGACAAAGGCTCGGTCATTTTAGGGCCTCCTCAGAATAAAAAATTAATTAGAGTTTGAAATACTCCACAGCCAAACAAGCTGGAGAAAGTTTTCAAACCCCGTCCTTAGGTTTCCATAAAAGTGGCTAAAATCAGAGATGAATCCTCCTCAAACCCAATGAAAAGAGTAGTGTTAGCTGAACAAAAACTTGGGGGATGTTCTGGCAGTCATATGGATGTCCCTTCATTGGTGAACAACGAGGGGAGGAGGGAGTGAGCACGTGCTTGACTCGTGTTTGTCCGCTGGTCAAGCTGTGGAGGTATTCTTCAGACGCGCATGAACGAAAATAAAAAGTATCAACTTGATGAGCCTCCTACGCTTGCAGCTTTCCAAGTCGTCAGGATGTCCATCTCTGTCAGCGCCCACACGCATTATCTCATGTGCACGCGTCACTGAGGCGCCACAGAGATTTGAACATACACACACTTACGTCATAACGCATTCATCCAACTTCACTTCTAAATTACATCTGTGTGCCTTTGAAGACGAAACAAACTCGCGTCCCAATTTCAATCGGACCAACATTAACTGGTGAATTATTTCATCTCTATTTTTATTTCTTTTTAGTGTTTACCAACACTGTACAAATGTATAAAGCTAATGATGCGTTACAAAATTTTCTCACTTTTAAAAACAGGAAACACAACATAGACTGTTTGTTTTTATCCTGTAGGTATGCTGCTGTAAAGACACACAGATGTGACCAAAACCACACGTCCTTTTTTTGCTGTTACTCACACACACCCATTGCAAACATGCTGATGCCCTCTTTCATCCACATGCAAGCACACGCACACGCACAGTGTCAGAGATACAAACACAGAGAGCCTGCTTGTTTCTCAGGCATGCTGTGCAGCCAGGTCCTGGTTGATGAAGCGCCGTAGCCTTTCCAAGTACTGACTGTAAAGCTCGATGTCGTTGTGACCCGCCCCCTCCACCCAGAGGGGCTCCACAGCCTTGGGACAGCGCTCAAACAAGGCGAGGCCATGAGAGAAGTCGATCACCTCATCCTCCGTACCGTGAATGATGAGCACTGGAGACGGGATCTTTGACACCTTCTCGATGCTGGAAGAAAATGTTCAGAGATTCAGGGATCAGAATCGATAAATATAACTGGAAGCTTGGTGTATTTATACCAAATAAACTGTTTTTTTTAAGGATGTTGATACTTTTACAAATAGAAACAGAAGTGGAGATGTATTATACTGTTTCCATGTCACATAACATTTCATACAATAGTGAATGAGTTTGTGAATCCTTTAGAATTTTCTATATTTCTGCATAAATATGAACTAAATCATCATCAGATTTTCACACAAGTCCTAAAAGTAGATCAAGAAAACCCAATTAAACAAATGAGACAAAAATATGATCATTGTTCATTTATTTATTGAGGAAAATGATCCATTACGTCATATTTGTGAGTGGTAAAGGTATGTGAACCTCTAGAATTACCAGTTAATTTGAAGGTGAAATTAGAGTCAGGTGTTTTTAATCAATGTGATGATGATCAGGTGTGAGTGGACATCCTGATTGGTTTAAAGAACAGGATCCATCAAAGTCTGATCTTCACAACATGTTTGTGAAAATGTATCATGGCAGGATACAAAGGAGATTTATGAGGAGCTCAGAAAAAGAGTTGTTGATGCTCATCAGGCTGGAAAATGTTCCAAAACCATCTCTTAAGAGTTTGGACTCCACCAATCCACAGTCAGACAGATTGTGTACAAATGGAGGAACTTCAAGGCCATTGTTACCCTCCCCAGGAGTGATGGACCAACAAAGATCAGTCCACTGAAGGATCATCTCACAATGATCATCATTGATGGAACAATGAATTCTGAATTATATCAGAGAATTCTAAAGGAAAATGTCGGAACATCTGTCCATGAACTGGATCTCAAGAGAAGGTGGGTCATGCAGCGACACAATGACCCTCAGCACACAAGTCGTTCTACCACAAAATGGTTCAAGAAGAATCAAGTTCATGTTTTGGCCAAGTCAAAGTCCTGACCTTAATCCAATCCAGATGTTGTGGAAGGACCTCAAGTAAGCAGTTAATTTTTCATTCAACCTTATTTAGACAATCCCATTGAGCCTCGAGGACTCATTTACAAGAGAGACCTGAAATATTAATGTGAGAAACCAACCAACATCCAGAGTTAAAGCTGTTCTGTATGAAGGAATGGGTCAAAATTCCTCCAAGCCGGTGTGTGTGCAGGACTGATCAACAGTTACTGGAAATGTTTTGTTGCAGTTATTGGTGCATGGGGTGGGGGTGGCAGCTCATACCAGATAATGAAAAACAAGGTTCACATACTTTTGCCACTCACAAATATGTTGGATCATTTTCCTCAATAAATAAATGACCAAACATTTTTGTCTCCTTTGTTTAACTGGGTTCTCTTTATTTACTTTTAGGACTTGTGTGAAAATCCAGTGTTTCCCCTACCATTATACAGGTCCTTCTCAAAAAATTTGCATATTGTGATAAAGGTCATTATTTTCCATAATGTAATGATAAAAATGAAACTTTCATATATTTCAGATTCATTGCACACCAACTGAAATATTTCAGGTCTTTACTTGTTTTAATACTGATGATTATGGCATACAGCTCATGAAAACCCAAAATGCCTGTCCCAAAAAATTTGCATATTTCATCCCACCAATGAAAGACAAGTGTTTTTAATACAAAAACCGCCAACCTTCAAACAATCATGTTCAGTTATGCACTCAATACTTGGTCGGGAATCCTTTTGCATGAATGACTGCTTCAGTGCGGCGTGGCATGGAGGCAATCAGCCTGTGTCACTGCTGAGGTGTTATGGAGGCCCAGGATGCTTCGATAGCGGCCTTAAGCTCATCCAGAGTGTTGGGTCTTGCGTCTCTCAACTTTCTCTTCACAATATCCCACAGGTTCTCTATGTTGTTCAGGTCAGGAGAGTTGGCAGGCCAATTGAGCACAGTAATACCATGGTCAGTAAACCATTTACCAGTGGTTTTGGCACTGTGAGCAGGTGCCAGGTCGTGCTGAAAAATGAAATCTTCATCTCCATAAAGCTTTTCAGCAGATGGAAGCATGAAGTGCTCCAAAATCTCCTGATAGCTAGCTGCATTGACCCTGCGCTTGATAAAACACAGTGGACCAACACCAGCAGATGATATGACACACCAGTGACTGTGGAAACTTGACACTGGACCTCAAGCAATGTGAATTCTGTGTCTCCTCTCTTCCTCCAGACTCTGGCACCTTGATTTCCAAAGGAAATGCAAAATTTACTGTAATCAGAGAACATAACTTTGGACCACTCAGCAGCAGTCCCAGGCGAGATGCTTCTGACGCAGTCTCTTGTTCAAAAGTGGCTTGACCTGGGGCATGCGGCACCTGTAGCCCATTTCCTGCACACGCCTGTGCACGGTGGCTCTGGATGTTTCTACTCCAGACTCAGTCCACTGCTTCCGCAGGTCCCCCAAGGTCTGGAATGGGCCCTTCTCCACAATCCTCCTCAGGGTCCGGTCACCTCTTCTCGTTGTGCAGCGTTTTCTGCCACACTTTTCCCTTCCCACAGACTTCCCACTGAGGTGCCTTGATACAGCACTCTGGGAACAGCCTATTCGTTCAGCAATTTCTTTCTGTGTCTTACCCTCTTGCTTGAGGGTGTCAATGATGGCCTTCTGGACAGCAGTCAGGTCGGCAGTCTTACCCATGATTGCGGTTTTGAGTAATGAACAAGGCTGGGAGTTTTTAAAAGCCTCAGGAATCTTTTGCAGGTGTTTAGAGTTACGTCGTTGATTCAGATGGTTAGGTTAATAGCTTGTTTAGAGAACCTTTTCATGATATGCTAATTTTTTGAGACAGGCATTTTGGGTTTTCATGAGCTGTTTGCCATAATCATCAGTATTAAAACAATTAAAGACCTGAAATATTTCAGTTGGTGTGCAATGAATCTGAAATATATGAAAGTTTCATTTTTATCATTACATTATGGAAAATAATGACCTTTATCACAATATGCTAATTTTTTTAGAAGGACCTGTACAGGCGGGGTGCCTCACCCCGCCAACAAAACTGAGCACCCCACCTACCAAACTGAACATGCCCCTCCCACCCGGCCCTGACATATCACTAAAGGTAGCAGCGCAAAATACAGGCTCTAGCTAAAAAGCCCAAGGCAGCACTCACATTGCCTCTTCCCTCGTGTTGAACTGAGTCTCTTGACCTTATCTTAGACGCATCTAACAGCAAAAGCCGTGGTTCAGAAAGAGCTCACAAAGCATTAAAATAATTTGAATGTTGAAAGGTATCAGTCATGATATGGTAACCAAAAACTACTCAAAGTTAGATAACCAATGAAACACAGTAAAAATGGCCATCAACAAGTGAGAAAAAACAAGGAACAGCAGTGGCATTACCAAGAACTGGGTGTAATTATTTTAAAGAGAGGCCTGCAGCAACGCTGAACGAGCTGCAGGAAGGTACTGGCTGTGTGCTACATGTGACAACAATCTCTCTTGTGTTCTTTATAAATCTGCCCCCCCCCCCCCCCCCCAAAAAAAAAAAACCTGAAGGCCCAGCTAAATACTTAAAAAATACCAAATCAAGTCTCCCAAGCTCATGTGGGTTACTGTGTTGTGGATGGATGAACGTGAAGTTTGAACTTTTGGGCCATAATTCCAAAAGGTATAGCATCACCAAAGGAACACAAGCCCCACAGTGAAACACGGTAGTGACAGCTTCATGGTTTGGGGTTGAACTGGTGTTTTAGTCTGCAGCTCCAAATACTTGTTTGTTTTTGGTCTAAAACTTTCAAGGCTGCTAGAAAGCTGAATACCAAAATGGAATGACTCGCACATCCAAATGAACTAAATGGCTTCGTCAGAAGAATATATTTGTTTTAGAAGCTGAGTCAAGTCTAGACCTATATTTGATAGAAAAACTGCAAGGTGACCTAAAGAGCTCTAAGTACTAGAGATATCCTCAGATTTGACAGACTTGGAGCACTTCTGCAAAAACGAGTTGGCAAATATTACCAAGTCAAGGTGTGTCCTGCTGCTAAGACTCCTTACCAAGAAGACTAAAAGCTTCAATTAAATTAGATGTTTCAACAATTTGCTTGTGTGAGGGTGAGCATACTTATAAGAACAACAGCTCGTTGCATATAGTTTGTATTGTCCCCTGCAACAGACGTTTTGTTTTCAGTTGTATTGTAATTTCTTTCTTTAGCAAATGTTGCTGTATCCAGCAAATTTTCTGTCTTAAATGCTCTTTTTAGTTTTGGTTTAGAGTATAAACACCCATCTCCAATAACACACAACCCCAAAAGAGGGGTTAGGAGTGAAGTGCCCCCACAGTGGACGTTCTGTCTCATGTACTGGACTTACTTTGGGAAGGCATCAAAGAAGTATGTTTTCTTTGTGTCGGGGAAGGCCACTCTCATGCCGGAGGTGAGAGGAGAGTGAAGTACCACAGCAGCACACTCAAACCTTGATGCTAGATCCACTGTGGGCACCGTGCCAATGCTCTGACCATACAGGATGATGTTCTCAGGACTGATGCCATACCTAAAAAAACAAAAGCATACATTTAAAAGTAAAAGTACACAAAAGTGGGACGTTACATTCTGAAAACTTGTCTATTACTGTCAACTAATATGCCAACTATCGTATGTAGATTAACAAGTTCCATTGTCCTTGTCATTTTGACAAGAACTAGCATCATGCTTTATGAAAATAATAACACAGAAAAACAGCAAAAAACAATGTTAGAACTAGCTCAAGCTTCCAGCAGCTTTCTAAACAGTCATTTTAACTTTAAGGCATTAAATATTCTGAACAGACTTTAGTAGATTGAGTACACGCTTGTATCCCCAAGTAAAATAATAGCATTACAACATTTTTAGTGGACTTTCTGGAGCCCAAAACTTGGTAAATAATTGAAAGAGGAAGCTGTTAATCTGCTCATCTCTCTCTGTAAGAGGCTGGAACTTAATACAAAGGTCCTTCTGTGTGGTGTAGCTGATTTGCTGGATAAATCATCTGATTACTTTAAATGTATCACTTGATGTTGACAAAAGGATGCAAAAGAAAGTCAGTTTGTTAAATAGCCATGGTTAGATTGTGAACTGGCTGATTAGTCAAGCAAATCCTCTTTTCTTCATAACATTATTGGACAGCAATCTGGGTACCGGTAGATGTTACTTATTCTACCACACTTTGGTAAGCATTTTAGCAATTAATTTTAAACCCCGACAGAAACAGCCTCTTTGTTTACCGGGAGCGCAGAGCGTGCCAGGCGGCATCAATATCAGAGTAAAGGTTCTTCTCTGACGGTTTCCCAGTACTGACACCGTAGCCTGAGTAGTCATAGGAGAAAATATTGCAGTTGATGCGTGTGCCTAAGCCGATATAGAAGCTGCTCATCTGACCCAGGTCTACTGCATTGCCATGTGAAAACAACACTGTGAACCTGAGAGACAAAGAGGAAAAGAAAAACAGAGGAAGTTAAACACCAACAATGAAGACTCAGTGGGGATACGTTTAACAATGTTATTGAGAATGTTATCACATATAAAAAAAAGTTGTAATGTGCGTGTCTGATAATGCTCAGTTTCAGTCTCACCTGGCATTTGGAGCGCAGCGAATGTACATACATCCAACCCTGTTCCCTCGACTAGATCTGGTCAGAAACACATCCGTCACATCCAGCTCTCTCTGAGAATACTGGAACTCTGCTCTCTCTGTGAGATGCAGCTTCCACCTCCCCTCACCCACAATACTACTGCTGCCGCCGCTGCCACCGCCACTGGCCCCACTGCCTCCACTGCTGCCACCACCACCACCACCGCCTCCTCCACCACCCCTGTCACCTCCACTATTAGTACCCAGCCGCGAACGCAGTCCTGGTGCGCCCAGTGAAGGAGGAGCAGCCCCAGAGTTAGAAGCAGACACAGTTGTAGCTCCAGAACTTGCTTCTGGGTCAGGGAGTAAAGCATAGGTGGGCTCTGGAGGGAGGAAAGCCAGTTTGGCTGCGATGCGACCGGGACAAGGGGGGCAGCAGAACAGGCAGCATAGCTCCCGAATGGACAGGCCGTTCATCTTCTGGTACAAATCTGAACACAAGAGATGCAAATAGATGCAAAAATTAAATATATAATAAATAAATAACACAGACAAAAGGAACATTTATTTGAGCTACACTTTTATTCAGATTTAATAGGACTAGGATGTTTCAAAGTATATTAGAAAGGAATAAAGATTAACTAATAAATTAGCCTCTAGTTGTAATTGGACAAAAACTTGTTTTTTTATTTTTATCAGTTGATTTATTTGCATGAGCTTGAAAGTCAGTTTTACTTTAAATAAAGAATATGGCTGTGCCATAGAGAGAAGCATAAAGAAAGCTGTAAGGTGCTGATGTTTACAGTGTCTTCATCCATCCCGTTAGAAGTGCATCATGCCTTACTAAAGCATTAATCACTGACATAAAAAATATTGTTAATAGTCATGATGACATCGCATGTCATGAGACGTGGAGAACAGCAAGGAGAGGGATGCAGAGGGAGAAAGGCTTTTCATTAGACTTTATTGATTTTAACCATGATCCACAACAATAACAATGAGCAACATTTAGAAGCTAAAATGTCTTTCTCCCTCCAACTAATATATATATATATATACAAAGACACATAACAAGATATATATATATATATATATATATTTATATATATATACACACACACACACATTACTGGTATTACTTATCAATAGTAAAGTATAGAAATCTAATAAATCACCCCATGTTTCAGTCAAATTGATGGACAACTCAATTATGATCAAAATAATTCTAACAATTATTTTGATCATAATTGTGCTGCAGTATTACTCTGTTAAATCAGATAAAAGCTGCTTTAAAACATGTTTTTAGGTTAAAGTTTCCAATTCTGTTCATTGTAATAGACACTGAGATTATTATTTTTTTTACCCAGTTGCCTGTTTTGACCTTGTTTTTCATTGATTTTGTTGCTTGTTTCTGTCACAGGATCTGGCAGCACGAGCTACAGATGATAAGTTTATGCAGAAGACAAAGTTGTGGTTAGATTAAATAAATAAATAAAACCATATACTATAGCGACACAAAACTAGTTATAGTAGTTTTTTGGAAAATATAGATAAAATTAAAAAACCATTTAAATTTTTTTAATGTTTTTTAACAACAATGGGAGTAGGACTACCCAGTAGTCCATTTCTAAATGCAACTAAAAGTCTGTGATGGAGAATGTAAAAAAATAAATAAAAAGATGATGCAAAGACATAAAATGCAAAGCTGATTCCTAAGTTGCATTATGACAAATTTGGGACCTGACTGATGAAAAAAATAAAGAAATTAATCCTTTAAAATAGCAAAGTTGGTTCAACACGGCTCTAAATTGTTGTTTATTTAATTAAGATTCTATAAATGTTTGTCTTCTACTTATTCTAAAATAAAATTTGTGATGCATTACAACTACTTTGGTTTTTTTTTCAGTTGTGCTTTACTAAATCAAGTTTTTTCTGCCATTTTGTATCCGTCATAAATCTGCTAAATAAAATCTTTCAAGGGTTCAAGAGAGGCGATATCATGTTTTGGTAGGTTTTGTAGAATATCTGCTTAATATAGCTAGTATTTGTAGTATCTGAGCAGCTAACATCTAGCTGCTCAAAAAGCCATAAATATATTTAGATTTTAATAACAACTAAGAATGAATTATGTGCAAATATTCTAATATGAGTAGAAGAAATTTGTACAGAGAATTTACCTGAAATATAAAAACTACAAAAGGCTGACAGAAAATCTTCCATTGTCCATGGGCAGGCTGCTATTATTTAGGTTTTACATATTACCTGCTAATAAATTTGTATAACTGAATAGGTAAAACAAAGGAACATTTATTGATGGCCAAAAATAAGTGAAATAAATCTTGACAAAGTAGCCTTTGTTAGTTAAACATACCTGGATTCAGAAATGCTTTGGTCTTGGTATCTCCTGCACACCACTGCACCGTCTTCTGGTAATCAGCCAGCTAAAAACTAACAAAAATAAAAATATATAAAGGGTTATTATGACAAGTAACTCAGGCATTATCACCTACATCTAAAATAATAATGATAATAATAATAGCTATAAACCTATATGTTTTTAAACTCAGATGCATACAGATGCTTATCTGGCTGAGTGTCCTGGCATCTATAAGGAAGTATAACCTTAATGCTAACTGATGTAGATTTGTGGATGAAGTTAATGGCTTCTGTTACCATCCTTTTAAATATCCTGCAGTAAATGACTGCCGGTTTTGTAGTGTTCATGCTTTACGGGTGGTCAGTTTTTTTATTATAAAAGCTTTGGACATGATGATGGATGATATTGTGAGACTGACATGCTAAATGCATAGAAACAGCGGTATTAATTAAGATTCGGCTTTAGCCCATAACGCGAGGGGGTATAATGAATTAGAAAGCCGTGTTTCAGTCAGTGTTTCAGCTGTAAATGTAAACCTAGCCCTCACCTTTTGTGTGTTCATCCTAGCTAGTTCAATAATTACCTCGTATCGCAGAAAGGCTGCAGCGGCAGCAGGCAGCTAGCGGTAGCTGCTAGCTGCTGTTTGGCCTGAAAACGACCTACTTACGGCTTCACAGGATGGTGTGCCCCGATATGGACACAGAAGCAGCACAAGACCTCCAAAAGCCTTCTTTAGTGTTGACATGGATGGTTTTACTTCAGTGGAGTTCACCAGTTGTCGGTGGCAAGCTAGCTGGAATTCATCTTTTTTTTTTTTTTTTACTACGGTCCGACTTCACCCGGAAGTGACGTAGCGCGGTTTTCAAAACTTCATTCAAATCTTAAATTATCACCGCAATACATGATTTACAGACGTTTTAACGTTGTAAAAATGTAATTAGTTCAGTAATGTTTTTTTTAAATGTCATTACTTAAGTATTAAGTGAATTTAAAGGTACGGAGCTCGGATCCAGTAGCTATGCCTGTTTCTTTTTTTTATTTTTTTTTAACAGAATGGTGTTAAAGTACACAAAGGTTATTGGTTAGTTGTCTTCAGATTCTGCCAAACTCAAACGTCAAGAGGAACCTTTAGACCCCAAGTCTCTATCTATGTTATTTTTAATCAATTTCTTTATAGATCCAAAAACTAAGTCAAGTCAAGTGTATTTATAGAGCACATTTAAAAGAGCAGCTGTTACCAAAGTAGATCAAGGCAATAAATAAAAGTAACTAGATGTAATTAAAAGCATAAAAAATAAAGACAAAAACAATGAAATAGTACCGTAAATCTAATCACACTGTGTTAAACGTCAGTGAATGAGTTTTAAGGAAAGATTTAAAAGCAGGGACTGAAGTGTCCTGTTTAATGATGATGGGCAGATTTTTCCAAAGTTTAGTGCCCACAACTGAAAAAGTCAGATCTCCTCTGAGCTTCAACCTTTTGGTACAACAAAAAGCAGCTGGTCAGATGATCTTTGTTGAAATACAAAGTAAGTCACAGCAATAAGGGGACACAAGGCCATTAATGCACTTAAAGGTCAACAGGAGAATCTTAAAATTAATTCTGATATGCACAGGGAGCCAGTGAAGGGAGGACAAGACTGGTGAAATGGGCTCAAACCTGCGAGTTCCGAGCTGCAGCATTTTGGATGAGCTGGAGACATGAAAGGGACACCTGAGTGTTTGACCACCCCAGATACATCACTCCAGCAGGGACTGTTGCAGTTTTAAATGTTTTTCCTCTTCCTATAAAGCTATTCACAATATTTTTAATATATAAAAAATGGGCCTTCTGTGAAGTTTTGCCACAAATTTAGAATGATGAGCGTCCAAAATGTTTTGTATTAAGAGGGTCCATCATTAGAGATAAGGCTGTAGTGCAAACCTGGACTGAAAAACTTAATTAAAAAATAACCACACACTTTTTGTCTAAATTGTTGCTTTTTTCCTTGTAATTTCCCCTTTTATCAAATTAATTCAAAAGGTTCTTAATTATTTTACTTGTCAAAAAAATCTAAAAAAACATAACAAACATGGCTGCATTTTTTTTTTACTTACAAATACAGATTTTACGAGCAGCACCTTCACTTATTAAATATTTTTGCTGTGCTTTGCTATCAAAAAGTCTTCTTTGTGCAGATAATTTCTTGTTCCACCAAACCTGTGATAGCCCCCCCCCCCCCCCCTCTTTATTTTATTTTAACATTTATCAATATTACATTTAGATTAAATTATATTACACATACAATGTTTTTGCTTTGGTCTCATTTTTCATTTTCTCTTTGTTTAATTTTTTGAAAGGTCCTAATTGCAGAATGCTCAGGCTTTACTTTTTAGCATTTTATCATATTAAGTGAAATCTAAATGTAAATTTGGCAGCAAAAAAAAAAAAAAACCCACAGCATTTGTTGAAAAAAGATGGCACAGTGACAGAATTGGTAGAGGTGTCACCTCTCAGTGAGAAGGTCACTGGGTCGAACCCTGGCCTGGGACCTTTTTGGGTGAAGTTTACATGTTCTCTCCTCACAAATGTTTTCTCCGGGATTCTGGTTTCCTCCCATAGATCAAAAATATGCATGTTTATCATGATTTTAAAGGTTTACAGACACCAAAGCAGAGAACTGAGAAGGAGCAGGACACAACACAAGAATACAAGGTAAGTGAAGTTTATTTACAGTGACAGGGATGGATGTACTGGGGCAACTGGAAGGTCTGGAAAGGCTCTTGTCAAGGGCGGACACATTTCCCCTCCTCTCCCTCTCTGCTTCACCACTTGCTCTCGCCGAGATCGGATGCTTCTCCCCTCCCTATCCTCTTTGCTTTGCTGCTCTGTCTGTCTGTGAAACTGCTTCTGAACCTCTCTTGCATATTTTCTGAGCCATAATTTTGGACTTGTTTTGATCAGTTGGTCCCTCAACTCAATTTACAACATTTCTTCGAAGTGAAGACAGGCTTTAGGCGAGCCGATTTGCCCTGTTGGCACGCACGCAGCTGGATATCTCATCGACTGGAAGACTTGATGATGTGTTTATCTCTGCTGCCATCTGTGGATTTTAAGGACGCATATTTAATTGGATTTACGATAACTGGTTCGTGCTTTTTGGATTTGGCTGGTTGCTGGTTTTATTTACAATCAAGGAAGTCATCTGCAGCAAATTTGGACCTGATCACGCTGCTTGCCTTTATGATGGCTTGGTTCGTGTCTCGAGTACCCAGACTCAAATGCTTTGAGTTGAATGGATCAGATCTTGGGGATTTTACTCAGTAAAATCCATTCCATTCCATCGGTGTGACCATGTAATTTGGGCATTTCGGAACCGAGTCGACCAACACAGACTCAAGGTAGATGTCATTAAGTTCTGCCTGTCCTCAAAACAACTGTGTGTTTATCTGAATTTGGCTCCCTTGGCTGGCCTTGAAGGCCGTCTTATCTGAATTCGCCTGGAGAACATGTGATCTGGTGCTCACCACCCCCTCCCTGAGGAATTTCCAACTGATAACCAGATGAAACCAGATGAATAAACTTGCGTCATCATTTCAGGACTCTTGGATTCTCATAGACATTATTCTTGGCCATTCCTCGACATCCCTCGAAAATGTTTATGGATCTCACCAGAGGACATTGATTGATTATTCCATCCTTATCATAACTCTTACAGTGACATCGAGAGCATCTATGAACATTGCTGACCGCTCTCTTCTCCCCCGTCTGCAGATTGTCTACATATGTGCTTGTTTGTGTGAGGTGTTTTTTTTATTATTAGAGGGTTTTTTTTTCCTCATGCAGGAAAAAAAAAGTCTGATAGGAATTTTTTTTCGCCTCCAACTCCTACATGTGTCCAAATGAGTCTTTGAGGCTCAATGTGATTTATCTGTTTAAATAAAGGTTGAATGAATGAATGCTTTGCTTTGCTCTGTACTGTCTGTGAAACTGCTTTAGAGTCTCTCTTCTGCAAATCTTCCAAACCATAATTCTGCTATGGATTTGGTCAGTTGGTCCCTCAACACAATTGATAAAATTTTTTCAAAGAGAAGACTGGCTTTAGGTGAGCCGACTCGCCCTGTTGGCACGCACGCAGCTGGACATATCATCGACTTGGAAGACTTGGTGACATATTGATCTCTGCTGTCAATCAATTTAATTCAGTTTATTTATATAGCAACAAGTCACAACAGAAGTCATCTCAGGGCACTGAACAGAAACATTCATACATGAAAATAAGTTAACAGAAAAATTAATATATATGAATAATAATTTAACATTATTTATCGGAGGAGCAGACTGCTTTGAGTTTAACTCCATCGCAAAACTCTTAATCAATCAAAGATGTTAAGGACGCATATATAATTGGATTTATGATAACAGGTTTCCAATTTTTGGATTCGGCTGGTTCCTGGTCTATCAACAAGCAAGGAAATCATTGGCAGCAGATTTGGCCATGTGATTTATCTGTATAAATAAAGGTTGAATGAATGAATGAAAAAAGCCACTGGTAAGTATATTTCCAAATTGTTATGGGTTTGAGAGAACTCACGTGTCCAGGTGATGGATCCACAGAGAGAGAGATGTTTCCAGGTATATGGATTTGAGGTAAGTTGAAGACAGGCAGGTGGTAATGGTTCCTTGGAGTGAACACAGCTTGAGGACTTGGAGAACACATGTGAGTTCCAGGCTTGGTTTTGTAGGAAGGCTACAGCTAAGATACAAGGAAACTGATTAGTCATAGCGCAACTGGTAGAGCTGCTGCCTCTCAGAGAGCAGGTCCTTGGTTCAAACCCCGGTCCAGGGGCCTTTCTGGGTGGAGTTTGCATGTTCTCTCCGTGCATGCGTGGGTTTTCTCCGGGTGCTCCGGTTTCCTCCCACAGACCAAAAACATGCATGTTAGGCTGATTGGTAACTCTAAATTGTCCCTAGGTGTGAGTGAGAGAGTGAATGGTTGTTTGTCTCGTTTGTCTCTATGTGGCCCTGTGATGGACTTGCGACCCGTCCAGGGTGTACCCCGCCCCTCGCACAGTGATTGCTGGACATGGGCACCGGCGACCCC